TTGGAGAATCCGCTATTGTCATGCTTATATTAACGGCATTAATAGAGATTTGGCTGGTGAGGGTTATTGAGCGAGCTTGGAGGAAACTTCAGTGGGAAAAACTGTAGTTCGCAGATCGTCGTGAGGTCCCTGGTTTCACGCTGAAAGAGAGAGTTAGGCGACCTCTGTGTTTGAGCGTTAGTCATCGGAGGATGGTAGTTGCGCGACCGTCGCGGACCAATATAGCATGGCTTAGATGAACTTGATACTATAGTGGTTAGAGTGGGAGTGATTCTAACTTCAACGTCGTACTCGATCTGTGCGAAAGACTTTTGCCTAAAGTTACCTTCTAAAAGCATCAGTGGCCTGAGCATGTCACTAGCGAGTATGAGTTGTGTTTGCGGAGGCAAGCGTTAGCTTTCCTCGATGTCGTTTTCCCTACCGCGGTCGTGAATATTGGGGGATTCCCAATGTATTTGCCTGTTAGAGGGCATCGGACAGTGGTCGTTCCACCGGAATGACTACGTCTCAGCTTTGTCGGCCCCTCGTAAGCCGATGCGCATCGATGACATCAAGCTCGCACACACACGTCTTAAATTAAGAATATTAAGACTCTTGATATTCCCATTTGTCGGTCGAGTACGGACTAACACATAATTATTAAGTTATTTTTCAGTGCTCGAGATAAGTGCGACATCAGCATGGCGGGCTGGCGATGACAGGGATATCTCGTCCTCGACAGCAACGGACACACATCCTGTGGTTGAAGACGGAGTGGAGGGAGACAGGTTCTTCATAGGTACTCCCCGTTAAGGTGTGAGATTCATATGATGGCGTAGTTTTTCTTGGAAGCACTATACGATAATCACTTTTTTCACACGAATTTTGTAAACAAGTTTACGCTCCCTTTCGTCATTTGTCATTCAATGACAATTTGTCCATCGAATCTATAATTTATGTAGTTGTATCAAGTTTATGTAGTCGCACGGCAATACTATAGCCGCAATACGCCAATCCTCCACATTCCCGTCATCTCTACGCAGTAATATCCTCATCGAGCCGTATCTTGCCTTTCTGTCTTGCTCAGGAACGCCTCACGACGGCCCCAGCGACATCTCATGGGTGGAGACCTCAAGCGAATCGTCAGTATCTCCGACACGTGCGAACCACTCAAGGCTGGTACCGAATGGTCGGCCTGAGGTATTTGGCTGGTCGGAATTTTGTGTCTCAGTGGTCATTTTCCCCATTTAGACACAGTCGCCAGATAACAAAGCGGGGTGGCTGTCATCGTGGCTTGGGCGTAGTAGAGCAGCCGAAGAACCGATGAACGTAGGGCTCGCATTCAGAAATTCTGTTAATTCAACCTTCTTGGAGAGACTGTTCTCTTGCCGATGGGGATGGACTTGTTTTAGGGCGCAGGGAGTGACAGATGGGAGGTCAGCAGTGGAACGAGCATCACTAGTGGCACCTCTGGGAGGGGAAGGAGTTTGTCAAGGAGTCGGAAGTAAACACTCGGAATTGCGCTTCATTTGCTTAAAGTGATGCCTTGTTCGATTCACTGTGAATTCAACTGGACTATATGAGGAAGACAGTAAAGTTGGTGATAGTGTGGTTATTAGTCTTTTTCGAAGTAGGCCTCATCCTTCCGGCTCATCGGCCTCGATCCGGTCATCATCTCTGTCATCAGTGTCTAGTATCGGTAGCTCGATTTCCAGTGTGAACAACAAAGCAATCCGACGAGGTGATGCACGACAGTCCAGGTAGGGGGGCTAGCCATGTTCTTTTGAGATCTTGATTATGGGGATAGAACTCGCCAAATCTGTTTCAGATCAAGCTTCCGACGGGAGAATCGGAATCTTCTAATTGCACAAGCGACGGGTCAGGGAGCTGAGCGTCATAGATTCTTGGCATCTCTTCGGGAAGAAGGACGCCTCGCTGCGAGGAATCAAGAGGAGTACAAGTCCGATGAGTGCGAAAGATTTTGAGAACTTCCGTGGCGCATGGCTTTTGTCCTCGCTGATTAGGTTATTTGTCAGCCAAAGTGGCCCCGCTTGGGCGTGGTAGCGTTACGCTACTAGCGTATGAAATTCATCAGCATCTTGGTCTTGTATTTTCATTTCATCTGTTAATGCAGAATTTGTTACACAGTTTTGCCGTGTTCTCAGTCGCGCACATCGTGCAGTGCATATCCAGTGTGGGGGGGGGGTGCGTGGTTCCATATCGCATAGATAATTGTTTCGATTTCCATTTCGTGAGGAAAGGCGTTTAGCATAACGTTAAAGGAATTTCATTGATGAATCTAGACATGTATAGTTGGAATATGAGTATATACAATGTATATGCTCTGGTTCATGTATATTATACATGGACCATAGCTCGGAGCACGTGATGGATATAGGCAGCTTTCCTCGGCGTGACGTCGCTTTGAAAGCGACGCTTTCATTATTCCCAAACAAAGAACTCTCCCTGAATACCCAAATCTGAGCCCAAAAGCAAGCTTCGCTTGAGGATCGTGGGTGGCAGCAGAGCTAGCCTACCTTATGCTGGAGAGGAGAGGGTTTCTGTGGAGATCCCATATAGAGTTGTTGCCACCATCTTGTCGTTTCAATGAAACGGTTTCATATCGAAAGTTAAATTCAATGGCAACATAAGATGTATTTTCCGACCAGCTTTGACTAAGCTGGTCAAACGTACATCAGAAATGCTTTGTTTGTGGTGTGCCAATCGG